CAAGCACAAAAGCAGAGAAAATCGGAGAAGGAAGGAAAGCGAAACGGCCCAATCTCAGCCCGACCACCCCTTGTTACCAAATTGGTGATCGGAACCGCAGCCCATGGTCTAAAGCTTACCGAAAAAGCACCGCTGCTCATACTCCGAGAAGCCGCCGGTCAGAACCCATCGTGGCGACCGATAAAGAGGCGAGATCCAAAATGGGCTGACCCGCCGACTCACCCGGGAAGAGGAAGCCGCCCATCCAACGAGCCTTCGAACGCCGGCCGCACGGCCCAGAGAAGCTGCCGCCCCAATGGTCCGGAGGCCCCTGCTGGAGGAAGGCAAACTGGATCTAAGGAAAGCAAATATCATTTTTTTTTCTAGTCGTATATCATATTAAAAGTCAAAATAAACAATTAATTCTACATATTGACATAGATAGTAAATAAAAACACCAAAAAAAAAAAAGAAAAGAAAAATAAAAACGTTACAACATAATAAGTGAACAAAACATACCATTTTAGGCCTAAAAATGATTTAGGCGGGAAAAGTAGGCTATTCACATTAATTGGATAGCCTACAATTATATATATATAGATTTTTTATTTATTTATCTATATCTATATATAGAGGGAAAAAAAATTAATGACATTTTTTCACTCTTTTTTTCAATTAATTACAGAAACTGATCGTTATTTTTATATTAATTAATTACAATAATATTTTTTAATATATTTATCATAAAATATTTAGTACTAATATTACCCAATTATATTCATAAAAAAAATTTATAGCAAATTTTTTTCTTTAGTATTTTTATAATTAATATAATTTTTTTATTTTCATCCCATTAAGTAATTGTTTTTAATATCTAATTGTTTTAATTGATTAACAAACCCTTCAAAACTGCATAATAATAATAATAATTTTTTAACCAACTAATTGGTTTGGATCCATTAATACGGTAAGTACATTATTCTTTATATATTATTTTATGCCATATAATATTTTATTAGAGTAAACCCGTGCGATGCACGGAGTATACTACAAAAATTATTTTATTATTTAAATATTATTAATTTTTTTTAAGATTATGAAATTATATTCCCCACAATATTCAATTCAATAACAATATGATATTTGTTTATTTACTATTATTATTATTTTTTTGTAGGTTTTGACTATTCAACATGTAAATTTTATTATTTATGAGTTTATAAAATATTATAAACGTATATCATCATATGATACTTGCATACAAATTACTTACTTGTACTTATAAAATCGTCGATTATCATAGTCTTCTAACTTTTTCAACAATTCATAATTTCCACATTGTTCAATAATTGACTAACATTTAACCCATAATATTTATTTTCTTATATAATAATTTTATGTTCACGAAATGTTAAAAAGTTTAAATATAAATTTATTTTTTTGTAACTTTTATCCTTATGCAACACATAAATTTTTTTATGGTTAAATATTTTATTTTTATTTTTTGTTTATATTTATATATTTAATTCATTTTTTAAACCTATATAATGAGTTAATTAGTATCTATTTGAATATTTAGATATATTATATATTACAACAATCTTCTATTTCACCGATCTCCCAACTTGCAGATTGCTATAGTGGAAATAATATATAAAAAAATTATATATTTTTAAAACTGAATAGTTTTTTAAACTACATAATTTCTAAGATGAGTTTTATAATTCTGAATTATACTCGGCCATCAAATTTTAATTTTATTAATATATTATTATAAATTTTTTATTATTATAATTAAAAATGATATATTCAATGGAGATGTAGCTTTTTATGGTTAAGTTGACTGTAATTTAGAAACTTTTATTAATACTTTAAATTATTCATTAAGTTATTATGATTCAAACATAGTTATTCTGATTATTTTATTCAATATTTTAAGTTATTTTGATTTTTTTAATTAATTATTTTTAAGCTTATTTGGATTATTTATTATATAATTTAAGTACTTCTTAATGGTGAATATAATTAATTAAATTATTACGTACAACCATAGATGAAAATATATTTAACTAAATCAATTTTCATGATATTTTTTTGAATTGTGTAAATAAATTACTATGAAATTAATATAAGATCTTATTAAAAATATATCTAATTAATCTACGGTCATCACCATTTTTTGCCCGAATTATTTATTTTGAATGGCTGCTATTGGAACCCTAATTTCTCTCCTCTCTCTCTCGCTCACCCGCCGTTGCCTCTCACCGGATTTTGTTTGCCTTCCTCAGTAGCAATCGAATCGAGCCGCGGCCGGCTCTCGGCTGCCTGAATCCCGCCTCAATTCGCGCTTCTCCTTCTGCTGCTATGGAGTCCGCCTTCAATCTGCTCGGGAAGGATTTTGCCTTTTCCGGCACGTCTGTTCGTGTGGCCAGGTTAGCGGTCTTGCCGGAGTGGTGGGCTTTGAAGGGGTGCGAATCTGTGGGCGGGACGTGGCTCGGTCTTCGGCGGCGTTTGGTTGCGGAAGGGCGGAGCTACACCACTGTTTCGGTCCTCATCTCCCTGTTGTTGGATCAGGTAGTGCCGGTGCTCCCATTCTCCGGCCAGTGGTGTTGGCCAGTGCGGTGCAATGGTGGTGTGGAGGGCTCACGACAATGTTCAGGCGATTTTGGGAGTTTCCAACAGTGGTGTTGGCCGGTGCAATGAATGGATGTGCATTAAGAAAATCATGATTCAAATGGGCTTTCACCAAGACTTTGTGCAGTTGATTATGGTCTGTATCTCCACATCTTCTATTTCTTTCAAAGTTAATGGGCAAGTATGTGGTTTTGTCTCTCCTTCAAGAGGAATTAGGCAAGGGGTTCCTTTATCCCTTTACCTCTTTATTATTGTTGCTGAGTTATTATCTGCTCTGATACTTGAGGAAATCAACCGTGGTCAGCTGAAGGGGATTAAGCTCTCTCAAAATGGCCCCACTCTCTCACACCTTCTCTTTGCTGATGATTCACTGTTCTTCTGTAAGGCTGGTCCTGATCAAGCTAGAATTATGTTGAATCTGTTGGAGAAATACAGGCTTTTTACTGGCCAGCAAATAAACCTTCACAAATCTGCCATTTTCTTCAGCAGGAACACACCTCAACCTCTGAAAGCAAGCATCTGCAGCTCCTTAAATGGCATTATTTCACGCCGGTCAACCAGATATCTAGGTCTGCCACTGGGTATTGGAAGATCCAAGAAGGAAACCTTTGAGTACATTCTCACCTCTATCAGAAATAAACTTCAAAATTGGAAATCAAAGTTTCTGTCACCTGCTGGTAAAGAAACTCTTCTCAAATCTGTCATTCAAGCACTCCCTATTTTTACTATGTCTTGCTATAAACTCCCCATCTCTATCTGCAATGACATTTCAAAACTGTGTGCTGATTTTTGGTGGTAAAATGGGGAGAACAATGAGAAAGGCATTCATTGGAAGAGTTGGAATCTATTGGCATTACCTAAACTGAATGGTGGTCTTCGTTTTCTTGACACTAAATTGTTCAATGAAGCTCTTATATGCAAACAATTGTGGAGGTTGGCCACCAAACCTGATTTGCTGGTTGCTAAGGTACTCAAGGACAGATATTATCCTCATAGTTCCATCCTTGAAGCAGTTAAGTCTCAAAGGGGCTCTTGGCTCTGGAATTCTTGGCTTGATGTAATGCCTGTGTTTGCCAAGGGCTTAAGAATTGAAATCAGAAATGGAGCCCTTACAAGGATTAGTGACCTGAACTGGATTCCTAAATATCCTCAGGTTAAACCTCAGTTAATGGAGCTGGCTAGAGGGAACCTAATCTGGGTAAAAGATCTTCTAAATGCTGATGGACAAGGCTGGAATGAGTGGCTAATAAGGCAAGTCTTCAATGACCTTGACAATGAAGCCATTCTGAGCATAAATTCAATCAATAAAGACAGGAATGACAGGATATACTGGAGTCTGGAAGCAAAAGGTCATTTCTCTGTGGCAAGCACTTATTCTTACCTTTCAACTCTGAAAATGCAAAAACTTGACAGACCAGAATCCAGCAACACAAATGCTAAGAGCAAGGCTGTCCTTTATAGAGGATGGAGTCTGAAAGTTCAGGGCAAGTTACAACATTTTCTTTGGAAATGCTTGTCTGGCACTCTACCAGTTGCTACTCACCTTGTGAAGAAAGGCCTTGAGATTGATATCATCTGTTCTATTTGTGAAGAAGGACCAGAATCAGTAGAACACATCTTTTTTACCTGTCCAAGAGCATGCAGAATGTGGGAAAAGGCTCCAGTGCATTGGGCAGGCCTCAACAGCTTTACCAATTCTTTTAGAGCTTGGTGGCAAGGAGTTTGCTCCCTTAATCATAATGAGGTCTCTGAAGAAAGGATTCAGTTGTCCACCTACCTCCTTTGGTGGCTCTGGAAATCCAGAAACCTCTGGATTTTTGACAAAACTCTGCTCCCAGTGCATATTCTCATGAAATCAGCTGAAAGGGATTGGTTGGAATATGCTCAAGCAGCCTGATGTTTTCTGCAAGTTTCCAAGCTTGTGCTGTGCTGTGGCTTTGATTTTGTTTTTGTGGATGTTGGCTAGTATAGTTCTGTTTTTCTAGTTTGGTAATATTGAGTCTAGTTAGGCTTTGATGCAGTGGGTAGACTCTATATTTCATTTTGTATTTTCTTGTTGTTGTTTGAGGTTCTAGGCCACTTCTAGTGTGCCTCTCATGTTGTCCTTTTATTGTTTGAGTAGGTTTTCGTTCTACTGAACATTATTTTCATTTGCGGTTATTAATAGTACCCCTATCGTTCTGAAAAAAAAATAAAAAATAAAAAGATTTACTATTATATATTGAATTCGTACATACCAATTACCATTCAAGTATATTTTTTACAAACATGTGCAGATGTTCGATATAAATATTGAACAATAACACTCATAATTTAATTTAAGTCATAAACAATAAGAATCATAATTTAACTTAATTTAATTTAATTTAAGCAATCAAGGTAAATCATTAATTCAACTTAAAGTATTTATCTCAAAGTTGCTATTATTATTATTATTTCATTTTTAAGTTTTGTTTAAGAACATGAACTTAATCGATTCGAAATATTTTTTTTATAATTTATTCTTTTGATGCTTTAACGTGTAATTTTGATGTGAAACAAGAATATAGCATAAAGTAACATTAAAAACAAAAAAATAATTGCAAAGTTGGCAACTAAAGTAAGTTTTTCAACAAAAACATGACATTTTAAATCTACGTAATATTTTAAACGCTAACCGATGCTTGGATATAATTTTATTTTGTTTTGTTTGGATTTTTTTTTATTTTGTTTGGTTAATTTTAAAAAATAAATCTGTATATATTGAAAGAGGT